GCTGAATCATAGGGATGAGATAGAACTGGATAAAACCGGCGCAGAAAAGATTTAAGCAGGAGGAAGAACCGTGAAAGTACCCAGCACACAGTTTGCCTGATCAGAAAGACAGCTCTCAAACGCAGCAAGCTCAGAGGAGTGCTCAGATCGAAGAAGAGAAACAGCGTCTACAACTACCTTCCAATATGCCATTTATCACAAATCAGATCTCTATGCGCTTGATTTATGACCCTTGGAATGCGATAAAATAAGCAGATTTTAGAAAGCTGTACATTACATGTTCACAATAACGTAGCTGGTATAGTAATGCTGAGAATACAAGACTCTTTTATGTTCGCTAATAGAGGGTTTTTTCATCAAGAGCTGATCTTTCCAGGTGCTCATTCACGCAGACGATATTCCACTAAAACCACAAATGTTACAGAATATGTTGAATTAATTTGAGGCCAATGCAAAGGAAACTGAAATTCAAATGCAGCGAAGAAAAACCAAACGGATGAAGAGAGCGCAAATGCTTCAAGTTCAAAATGAAAATCGAAAATCAGTACGCAAAACCCTTGAACAGCCATGTTTTCTCGGAACAAACAACAGAATAACGAGTTGACCGGGGTTATATGGAAAATAAAAAGAGCAAGAAAGATAACCTTTACCAAACCACAAGATGTATATTGAAAAGAACATGACCGAGAGAGTATTACTTTGTCGTATTGATCAGGTCCAATTGTGGTAACGGTAAGAAATGTATACAACTTAATGGACCAAAACATTTCTTGCCCTTATAACAATTTTACTAATTTCGTAATTCTCATTTCCCACCTTTCTTTTCGATTCCTCCTGTTTCAATCGTTGTTAAAATACTTCTATTTTAATTCCATTACACCAATATCCCTACCGTATGAAAAGAAACAACGAAGAACAACAATTAGCAGAATAGAGCACATCTTCAATAAAGTAACCCAGGGAAAGCCAAGAGAGAAAAGCAAGTGTGCCAGAAAGAACTGCGCCAGTTCTGTAGCATTGATGCGGTGAGGTAACAAAACATGCCAAAAAAGTGTCCAGAAGGACAGATTTATCGATGCGACGAGTGTCAGATTCGCTGCCAGGCGCTGAATAAGCAAAGTTCATCCGATCGAAGACGATAAGACATACCTCGCAATCCACATCCCATTCGCTCAGATCGTACAGATTGCGGCTCTGCTGGATCACGTGGTGCTCCTCCATCACTGCCTCATCAATCGGCTCGGAATCACTGCCTGTATCACCGCTTGCCATCTGCACAAATTTTATTATAACAAACACCGGAACATACCAGAAATAACAGAAGCTGAGAAACGTGCGCCAAAAAAAGAAGGAATAATTACAAACTGCGAACCTACGAAACAAATTACAATACAGTGAGAAAAGATTAATATCTCCGAACACTTTGCACCTCGCTGTTCAGGCACCACCTCACCCAATACACTAAAAAAAGCATTCCTCTTCGGAAGCACAACAAACCCCGTACATTTTGAAATGCTCGTGCATTTCCGCTAAGAGCTCTCTCTCTTTCTACATGCGCAATTGCACTGAACAGATAATGCTGGTGGACTCAGGATCAATGGGTCCGTCAGAAGTGAGTGCGGGAATCCCAGTAACAGCATCAACTCTGGCCAATTTCGTGCATTTTCACGGCTTGTTACGCTAGCACCGGGTTCAGGCAGCTAGCCTTTTCAGCTGTATTGGCTTGGCAAATAGTGCA